AGGCAAAACAACCAGTACCTCATCTTTTTTATATTTGTTTTAACTAATGGGATACAATGGTGTAAGCAAAATAATCTTATGTCAGAAGAAGGAAAAAAAGATTATTTAGCTTGTTTAGAGGAAAAACTCGCATAATTTTGACTCATTATTTAGAAAAACAAGACGATTTATTGTGCTTGTCTAGAAAATGCTTCTTGGTTTAAGAAATTTTAGATATTTGGACTGAAAGCAAGAGAAAAAACCTAAGAAAAGTAATTTCTGCAGTATTTTTATCTGTGTTTCCTGTATGAATGATTCTCTCAGCCTGCAGTGTCGTAACTGCATGAATCTGTTTGCTTTCTGTCATTGCTAAGAAACACGAGCAACACAAACAGTCCTAAAACTCCTTCACTATCTGAGTTTACACTTCTTTATCCTCAAGGAAAAACTTATTTCAGACAATACAGCATGATAAGGTGATACAGTACGTATCCCAGCAGCCTCCTCCCCACCGAGCTTCTATTTAAAGAAAGACCACAGAGTTCAGATAAATATATCTGACTTTCATATGCAGCGCTCAGCATAAACGAGAACTGTTCCCCTTTTGAAAATTAATATTGTTATTCATTTCTATACAATATACTTGGGTGCATTTAGGATTTCATTAAACAGTTATATGCATTAAAATAAGAGTCTGGTCACCAAACATCTTTAGAAATACAAATATAACACATTTCAATTTAAACGAGTTATTGCAAAAACCTTTTTTTATAATGTTAATCTTGATTTTTCCTGCTTATTAACATATCTATTTAACATATTCAATTGTGTGTAGTAATTTTGAACTGTGGTCTTCAGTTGTTTTGTTAGATTAGTTCCAGTTTTGTCTTTTAGTACTGACTAATCTAATGTACAGGGTGGGCCATTTATAGGGATGCACCTTAATAAAATGGGAATGGTTGATGATATTAGCGTCCTGTTTGTGGCACATTAGTATATGTGAGGGGGCAAACTTTTCAATATGGGTGGTTTTAACGTAACTTTACTCTTTGATGAGTTATTTACAAGTTTCTGACCACTTCTAAAATGTGTTCAATGTGCTGCCCGTTGTGTTGAATTGTCAATGCAGCCCTCTTCTCCCGCTCTTCACACACTGATAGCAACACCGCAGGAGAAATGCCAGCACAGGCTTCCAGTATCCGTAGTTTCAGGTGCTGCATATCTTGTGTCTTCACACCACAGACAATTGCCTTCAGATGACCCCAAAGATGGTCTAAGGGGGTCAGATCTGGAGACCTTGGGGGCCATTCAACTGGCCCACGACGACCAATCCACTTTTCAGGAAACTGTTGATCTAGGAATGCTCAGACCTGACACCCATAATGTGGTGGTGCACCATCTTGCTGGAAAAACTCAGGGAGCGTGCAAGCTTCAGTGCATAAAGAGGGAAACACATCATCTTGAAGTAGAGATCTGCGCGGGACTAAATTTTGAATCCCGCTCCCGCCCACACCCGCCAGGTTTTAGCCCGAACCCGACCGCTCCCGCTTATATTAAGAATTTGTTGTCCCGCTGCCCGACCCGCCCCGTTTTCTGCCCGCCGCGCCCGATCCCGCTAAAGAGCGGGGGAGAACAAAACCGAAAATCACTCAGCTATACAGTCCAGACAGCCAAGCTGTCTGTATAAACACACTCACACACACAGCACCAAGCACACACACACAGACAAAGCTCTCTCTCTCTCTCTCTCTCATACACGCGCGCGCGCACTAACACACACACAAGCACCAAGCAGACACACAGACAAAGCTCTCTCTCTCTCTCTCATACACGCGCACGCACACTAACACACACACAAGCACCAAGCACACACACACAGACAAAGCTCTCTCTCTCTCTCTCATACACGCGCGCGCACACTAACACACACACAAGCACCAAGCAGACACACAGACAAAGCTCTCTCTCTCTCTCTCTCATACAAGCGCGCGCACACTAACACACACACAAGCACCAAGCAGACACACAGACAAAGCTCTCTCTCTCTCTCTCTCATACAAGCGCGCGCACACTAACACACACACAAGCACCAAGCAGACACACAGGCAAAGCTCTCTCTCTCTCTCATTCGCGCGCGCACACTAACACACACACAAGCACCAAGCAGACACACAGGCAAAGCTCTCTCTCTCTCTCATTCGCGCGCGCACACTAACATACACACACACAAGCACCAAGCACACACACAGGCAAAGCTCTCTCTCTCTCATTCGCATAGCAATATGCGCGATATTGCAAGACAGCCCGCTCCCGTCCCAAATTAAACCCGTTACCGAACGCTCCCGTGATTTATTCGGAAATTTATTCCCGTGCCGCAGAAATCTGGTCGGGTCCCAATGCAGACCTCTATCTTGAAGCAATGTCAAATATCCAGTGGCCTTGAGGTTTCCACTGATGAAGAATGGCCCCACTGTCTTTATTGTCTATAGAGTGAAAATTACATGACTTCACTTCTGGTGACATGAAATGCCTTTATGGTGGAGCTTTCAGTCCTTTGGGGTGGGGCTATCAACCGTTTAGGGCGGAGCTATCAGTCCTTTAAAATGAGGCTATCAGTTCTTTAAGGCATGTCTAGCAGACGTTTAAACCTACTGTATATATATATTTATACAACAGTTCTGTCTGGTTCTCGAACCTGATTGGCTGATAGCAGTGTGATGTTCTGCAACAGCACTCGTACAGCCTTTTCACCTTCTTGTAGTACTCCGCCCACATAGAGTGACAGCAGATCAATAAACTCACAACAGCTCTACAAATATTGCAGCTAACGGACAACAGGCTTATTTAGTCAAGAATGTAGTTGTTCAGATTGCAATTATGCAGTTTATTTATAAGCACAGTGCCTATTTTGAAATATTTATCATTTCTGAGAGAGAGCGCGTCAGCGATTATTAGCCTATCCACAAGATGGCACCAGGACCACATAATAAGCCCTTCTTAGAAGATTAAAACTGTGTTTTGTAACTACAGCTGATCAAATCATTAATAAGCTGGTTAGTGATATTCTGAGTCGATCTCTCTCTCTTGTATAGATTGCAACTGTGCAGTTTATTTATAAGGACAGTGCCTATTTTAATACAGCTACTTTCCTAACCCGGTTCTCAACAGTGTTATTCAGAGACCTCATCTCCAACACCCCCTCCTTATCGCAAACACAACAGCAGTCTGGTAGTGATTGCGTTGCTTTTTTCAGGGTTAATTATTGTGATATCCCGATTGCAACAGAGAAATACTGTAGACCGTAACACTGTAAGAAGATATCTCTGTGGACGGAGGGCATTCATGTCAAGTTCAGCCTTATAATCTTAAAATGTGAGCAAAATCAGCTGTTTTGTCATCACTTCAGACATTACGCTAGAGAATCATTCAAACACTAGCTCTACAGTGATGTTAGTGAATGAGTAACGGCTTCTGCTGTTCTGATGTCAGCTGCAGATGTGAATGAATGAATGGAGGAAGAAAGTAGTTTCTAAAACAAAATGGTTTTCCGACTCTCCGTGTTTGATTTTCTTTTTTATATACACTGTTTATAGCCAACTCTAAGTCACTCAAAAGGCTCTATTTCAACAATCTAAGTTCCAGTTGCGGCATGTCAGATTCACTATGCACATGGAGGGAAGAGGAAACACTGAACACATCTACAGAACCAGCCAGATTCACCAGAGCCCTCTGAGCTAAAGCAGATGTAGAGGATGTAGCGTTGTTATATTTATGTAAACAATAACAATATTTTACATTTTAATTGAGGTGTTTAGTGTGCTGCTGTGCATCCCTGTGTGCATAATAAGCAACATGTATGTATTAGGGGTGTCACGATTTAGATTTTTAATTGAAATCGATCGAAATTTATGCTCAATTTCGATTATCGAATCAAAAAATAGAATCGTCGATGCTGCCACGCCCCCATGTCACGTCAGCTTGGCTTGCCAAGCGGGAAAAAAACAGGCTTGTTGAAGTGCTTGTTAAACTGCAGGAGCAGGAGACCCGTCAACAGAGCTTAAACCCTCTCCGGTGTGGAAGCATTTTGGATTTTCAGTGAGTTATGTTGACAACGTTCGTGTTGTAGACAAAAAAAATACAGTTTTGCAAGCTCTGCTATGTACGTATTACGTACGGTTCGTCCGATAGACAACACCGGCATCGCGATCCTCCGCCCGCCCCCGTTGCAAATCCGCTGGGGAAAAGTTCACACTCAGGCCCTGTTTACACTGTCTTTGTTTTTAAATGGCATTTTAGAATGACAACGATTTGACATCCACAGTGGCGTGTAGCATTTCTGAGCAGCCCTCCTTCCTCTCTGCCTCTGAAAATACACATCACGTGACCACACAGACACAGACGCACACACAGCCATGCGCTCGAGACAGCAGGTCCAGGTTCAATCTTTCACTCACTTGTACTTAGTCATTTTAGCGAACACCTCAGATACTGTTGGCTGGTTCCTGTTGGTTGTGCGTCTTTTTTACCGACGCCATTATAACGACACAGATCACTGCCTATTCACGAGTCCCGCAGAAAAAGTGATTGACAGGTGGTAATTATGTGTGTGTCTTGCCTTTATTCATTTACTGTATGATTTGTTTATGGGTAAAACAAAGACCATCCAGGTCAGGTAGTTTAAACGGTAGGCTACAAATTATTAATTGGTCACTAATTAATTAATTATTCATTATCGAAAATCGAATCGAATCGTGCCTTTAGAATCGAAAATGTAATCGAATCGAGAATTTGGAGGATCGTGACACCCTACACCATGTGTAGGATAGGGCCCGAAATCTTTTAAGCAGCATCATTTAAAATATTAAATATCTTATTATATGGCCCACGTGAGTAAAAAGCAAAAGGCAAACAGCTTTGGAATGACATGAGGGTGAGAAAAGTGATCATTTTGGGCAACAGGTAGTCCATTTAACTGAGCTAATATGAATTGTAAATGATTGTTTTGAAAATGAAGGACTTACTTGTTGTCCTGAATCTGAATGCGGTTCCAGTACAGCGGCTTCATGGGACAGGCTGGCTCCACAGCGGGTTTACGAGGAGCTTTCTCTGCCACCTGTCCGAATCCAAAACCACCGAAAGCAGGAGGGGGAGGGGGTGGAGCTCCTGGGAGACCTGGAGGAGGGGGCGGAGCTCCTGGTAGGCCCGGTGGGGGTGGAGGAGGAGGCGGAGCTCCTGGAAAACCAGGTAGGGGTGGAGGAGGAGGCGGAGCTCCGGGAAGACCCAGTGGGGGTGGCGGAGGAGGTGGAGCTCCGGGAAGGGGTGGAGGTGGGGGCGGAGCATGTGCAAACCCAGGTAAAGGTGGAGGAGGCGGGACAGAGCTACCGGGAAGAGGTGGAGGAGGTGGAGCTCCGGGAAGAGGTGGAGGTGGGGGCGGAGCATGTGCAACCCCAGGTAAAGGCGGAGGAGGAGGGGCGGAGCTACCAGGAAGAGGAGGTGGAGTGGGCAGAGCTACACCCAGACTCATGCTGATGGAGTCCAGGTTGAGTTTTTTGGGCAGGCTGGCGCTGGAGTTCAAAGCTGGTCTGGGTTCTTCACCCTCAGGGGTTTTGATGAAGGTCTCGCGGTCAGTCTGAACACACACATTGCGGAAGCTTCTGGGAGGCAGGTCATCTTCAGTGGACACACACACCTCATGCAGCTCGCCGCGCTCCTGCACCGGGTGCTGCACCTGTGGGGAATATACAGGAGTCAAAGACTGAAATTCAGTACCTGACCAGGTACAAGGTGTCAGCCAAGTATAAGGTTATTATATTAATTAATGTAACCGCGGACACAGATTCTGCACATTTGAATGATCGCTTGCCATTTTTTTCTCTTTATTGAACGTTATACTTCTAAAATAGCCATTATTGATTATTAAAACTGACATTCAGTGAAAGAGAGGGTGTGTTTCGTATTTTCAATAAAAACGAAAGGAGGCAGTGATGTTATAGGCTCCTTTGGTTATAAATATGCATGAAGATGACGCTCATATTAAGCAGCTACACGACGCCTCAACATTTTTGATATCTGTTTAGTTGTTAATATCAAAATGAAAACAGGCAGTTCCTCATCATGTTTTCATTTTATTGTTAAGAAAGTGAAACAGCATAGCCAACGTGATGTGAATGACTTTATAAAGTACACTCGGGAGTTTGTTTTCCATATCAATGCGAAGTCTGAACTTACACGGACAGGATGCAGCACTGAACTGTGTGTAGGCTACTTAATATTGAGGAAAAGCCCCAATCAGAGAGGCGAATGTCTGCAGCCCCGCCTCCGTTTTCAGATGTCTCCGTTTTCCCCCATCCACACTGAGACGGAGCAGCAGCGTTTTGGGATGAAAACGGCCCCTCCAGCGTTTCCAAAACACTGAAACATTATTTATACAATTTATTCATTCATTTTCTTCCCTTTATTAATCCGGGGTCGCCACAGCGGAATGAACCGCCAACTTATCCTGCAAGTTTTTTACGCAGAGGATGCCCTTCCAGCCGCAACCCATCTCTGGGAAACATTCACACACACACTCATACACTACGGACAATTTAGCCTACCCAATTCACCTGTACAAAATGTCTTTGAACTGTGGGGGGAAACCGGAGCACCCAGAGGAAACCCACGAGAAGGCAGGGAGAACATGCAAACTCCACACAGAAACACCAACTGAACCGAGGTTCGAACCAGCGACCCAGCAACCTTCTTGCTGTGAGGCGAACGTGCTACTCACTGCGCCACTGCCTCATACAATTTATAAAAATGCTAATTCACTATCTTCCAGTAGATGGCGCCTACACAACTGCAGGAATAACAGTGTTGCCTTCATTACTGCAGTAAACACAGCAGCGTGATCTCAAATCTAGCAGAATTTTATGGATTTCATAAACTACACAGCATCTTAATATTTGCAGATTAAATTCAGGTAAACTTTAGCATACAACTATATATTACATAATCAAAAATGATACTAAATGTAATATAGTTTAAAGAGCCCCTATTGTGGGTTATTGAAAATGATCTTCATGCAGTGTGTAATACAGCACTAAGTAAATGAAATCATCCAGCTGAGGTTCTGGATGAATCTAAAAGTACTGCATGTTTAAAACTATTGATTCTTTAGCGAAATAGTCGACTCAGAGTCGAATAAATGAATTGAGTTGGGTTCGGATCTTTTGTTTGATCGTGTTGACGTCGATACATCACCAAATATGTACTTTCAGTTCTGGTAAAATGTGAACGCGCTTTCCCTTCAGACACTAGCAGAGACGCGGGGGATCACGGGACTGATCATGACTGAAGATGACGATCACTGACAGATAGAGATTCAGCTATGGGGAATGTCTACATAACTATCTGCAAAGATAGTTTGCAGTTTCATCAGCAGAAGCCAACTTCAGTTTACCAAAAAAGCCAGCGAGCCAGGCTTCTTACCCATTTAGTCATTCACTTTACTGTATAAAACTGCATGGCAGTGCCACCTATCCTGAGGGAAACTTCAGAGGGAACCAGTTACTATATGGTTCGATTAGTCTTTCGCTCCTATACCCAGGTCAGATGACCGATTTGCACATCCGGACCGCTGTGGGCCTCCACCAGAGTTTCCTCTGGCTTCGCTCTGCCCAGGAATAGCTCACCATTCTGATTCAAATAGTGACAAACATATCAAACAAAACTACTCATAATTCTCATCTCGCACACACAGACCTGATTGGACAACACTGGAATACCTCACATCCACAGTCGCAGAAGTTTAAATATTTTAATGGATCCGCAGCTCAAACCGGTTCTAAAGTTTCCACACACGGAGATGATCAGAACTCCACCCAGTTTCCGGGCTGCTCTCCATTGGAAATGAATGACTTCTGGTCTGTCGCTCGTCGTGTGCAGTGGAAGGTCGTACTCGCACTATGATATATGAACCGTGCTGGTGTTGAACTAGATTGCTTTATTGCATTCCTGCATTGGGCTGTATACTGTAGCTGTGGTGGGCACTTCTGTCTGTCTCGTGCTCAACGCAGTAGACCAATCGCAATAGACTGGTTCATCGGTCCAATCAGCGCAAATTAGCTTTGCGCTAAAGAGGGGTTTGGGAACAAATGAATCGCTGAACAAATCATATGGGAGTCGCTGGGATAATCAGGTAAAGATAAATGCAGATTATAAGACAATGAAAGTTTTTTTTGACCTTGCATGTTGTTGGAGACCCCTAATATCAAAATGGGACCTTTTTTAATGCAAAATAGGGTCTCTTTAAAACAGAATTTAAGACTTTATAATAGTTCCTTAAATTTCTCTAAATTGATTTATCATCTTTTAATGCTTTTTAAGAGCCAGCGGACACCCTGACCTGCTGCTGCTGCATCCCGCTGATGATGCTCTCCAGGCGGGACACGGTCTCCGCATGCTCCCCTCGCACCTGGAAGATCCGCAGCTCGAAATCTGCCTGCATCCATACACACATAAAAAGACATGTTATTAGATAAGCAATGCAAAGCTCATGGTTACTGTTCATTCAAACTGAAACAATAGGAACATTTCTGATGCATGAATTCAAACATATATAGTTAAATAAACTTTGTTAGGACTGCATTGTTTTGATTTGCTGTGCTCCAACTCGGGCTTAATGTTTTGTTTTGCATCCATACACTAGCGCTGACAACACTTGCCACATCCATTCACTTGCATTGATTGCACATACTGATACTGATGTTTTAATTATGTTATTTTCATTTGGGTTAGAATAAATATTATTTTTGGCTTTATTTCTACTTTAATGTTACATCTTTAAGCCACGTGTAACATATGGGGGCTCGACCAATGTAAATTGATTTGATTTGGCTTGCATTAAACTTTATGACACACATGACAAATATTATATGGATTTATTACATAAATTATAGAAGTATTTCATTTAGATAAAGTTTATTTCTAAGGATAGTGCCTATTTTAAATGTTTATAATTTCAGAGATTCAGTGTGTCGGCAGTCACTAGCCTGTCCTACTGAGCAGAGCAAAAACGGCTGATGTTCTGCCACAAGATGGCAACAGAGACCGCATAATAAGTCTTTAGGGGAGGAAAACAGCATTTTCTCATTATACTTTTAAACTACAGCTGATCAAATCATTATAAAACAGGTGAGTGACATTCTAAGTCGATCTCTCTCTTTTGTATGTTGTAGTGCTGTATTTATACCATAGTAATCTGGAAGTGTTTTCTTTGCTCTTGCTTTTTCTGAGGTAATTATTGTGAAATCCCAATTGCAAAAGAGAAATACTGGGACAGATGACATTTCATAACGTTGAGGCTCATAATGTTTACAAAATCAGCTGATTTGTCATCACTTTAGACCAACCCAGGCTCATTCTGAAAACGTAGTCCAGGGGATGTTTCTGGAGGCCGCGAAATACGTCCTGGGAGGTACGTATTTGTGCAGTTTTTGTTTTTGCGAATCCGTCTGTTTTCGTCTCTCGCGAGTGCCGTTCGCGCCTGCGCTGTTCTCGCGTCAACCCTCCAGAGGCCGCTGTCTGAATGACCGAATGTTTGACCGGCCAATCGGCTGACCCACCCTCCTCTTCCCTGAACCCAACCAGTTTTACAGATTGACCCGCCCGCCCGCTCACTTCTCTAAACCCGAGCAACAATTTAGAAAAGCCGTCTAGAAAAAGAAAAACCCTCGTCTGTTTTTCGGATTTTACCGCTTTCTCGCCCTGTTATAAACTTGTTCGCTTTATTTTTTGGATTCTGTTTTTGTTTTACCTGGTTTCTGGAACCGCTCTTCCCCGGACTCAAACCCGGACGCCTTTGTCAACTCCTCCTCTCTCCATCTGAAGTCCGCCAACGCACACGATGAGCTGACCGGACAAACTGACTGCAGCGGTAAAGCCCTCCACACGGAGGTAAGCGGTCAGCTGGCAAGCGCGAAAGGGAACAACGTCACACCGTCCCGTAGCGTTCGCTTAAAAAAATGTTATGCAGCCATACGTACCTCCCGGGACGTATTTCGCGGCCTCCAGAAACGTCCGCTGGACTACGTTTTCAGAAGGAGCCTGGGTTGCTTTAGACATTACGCTAGAGAATCATTCAAACACTAACTCTACAGTGATGTTGCAGAAGTAGCAGCGGTTTCTGCTGTTCTGATGTCAGCTGCAGATTTTAATAAATGGCGGAGAAAAGTAGTTCCTCATACAAAGGGGTTTTTGAGGCTCTCTTTGTTTGATTTTCTTGTTTATATTGACGATTGTGTTGTCAAACTGTTTTATAAATGCAATATCACATGAGTAGCAGTGCAAAATGACTGTATATCGTCACTGGTGGGAAACTAAGCCCACACACTCCTCCCACCAGTGCCATATCGCACTGATACTGCTTTAAAGCCATATCACACTAATACTGAGTGTGATACTGCTCATATATAAAAATTACGTTTTGTTTTATATTATTTTTAATCAATTTTTTACTTAAGACTTAAATATTATTTATACACACACACACACACACACACACACAAGCAATATCACATGAGTAACAGTGCGATATGGCTGTATATCAGACCTGGTGGGAGGCATGCGTTGGCACGAGGCTGCAGGCTACTCGTGTGATATTGCGTTTATACAACAATTTGACGGTACAGTTGTGCATATAAAAAGAAAATCAAACACAGAGTCTAAAAACCCTTTTGTGTTAGGAACTACTTTTTTACGCCATCCATTCACATCTGCAGCTGACATCAGAACAGCAGAAGCCGTTATTAATTCCCCAATGTCACTTTAGAGGTAGTGTTTGAATGATTCTCTAGCGTAATGTCTGAAGTGATGACAAAACAGCTGATTTTGCTCACATTTTAAGATTATAAGGCTTGTAGGAGCCATACATTGTATATTGGCGATTGGCCACAAGGTGTCAGTACGACACTATATAACTGTGGCTTCACTGCATGGAGGAAGACAGTGTTGGTAGGAAGCACACAGTTTTTGACCGTATCGTATTGCATCGTCTCGTAACTGAAGGAAACAGGGAAGTGTGCTTTTAGATAAAGGAAAGTGATTGAGTAATTCTGTTGATTGGAAGTTGATTGGACAATAAATATGTTTTTATTTGCATCTATTTGCTTACGGACTCTGACTTTTTACGCGTTAAAAACTTGCTCACTCTACCAACAATAGCGGCATTGGTAAGCCGCTACAAAAAAGTCAAAAACTTTGCTTCGTGGGACAATTGAGACGCCGCTGGAGTGGACAGCAAGGCATGGTGTTTCTACAGACAAGGACAGCGACGTTCGTTTGGATCAAGGCTTCATCTGCTGCACGTGAGGACAGCGTTTCTTCAGCATCTGAGTGAGTTCGTTTGGATCGGCTTTCTTCTGGTTTCCTGCATTAAGGTGAATCTACGCTGCTTCATCTCTTCGCGTTTGATAAACAGCACAATAGGTATGTTTGTTGCAACAACATCATCATTATGGCCATATGGAAACTATGTGTGCACACAATAAGGTTTAAAGCGTAAATCCAATGCATTGGTTGCCCATGACTGACTGAACTTTTCTTATGTGTGTTTATTGGGTTTTACAATTTGCAAAATGGAAAATGAAATCAATTTGAATGTTGAAATGGTGAATGTGACTGATCAAGGTTTAACTTCTGTTGAAAATGAGCCTGAAAGGGAAAAAAGACCAGTTAAATTAACAGCTAAAGCTTTAGTTGAAAAACTAGACACTTTACAGAAGTTAAGAAAAGCAAAGCTAAACAAAGCACAAAAGCTAAAAGAGTCAATTAACAAACTAATATGTGATGACAATGAATGCAAACCTGAGGTACGTTTGGTCTTTGAGGATTTTAAGAGGTTGTGTTCAGAGGCAAAAGACACTCATGAATCACTTTTGGTTATTTTACCGGTTGAAGAGTGTGAAAAACATGATATCTGGTTTAAAGCAAAAATGATATCAAACAATGAGTTTTTGGAACGAACAAATAAATGGTTATCAGATAAACCAGAAGGTCACAAAATATCTGAAGTGGAAAATCCAGAGAGTGATGTTGGTCCTGGAGATAGTGTGTCAAATGTATCACATGCTACCTCAAAACGCAGTAAATGCAGTGCACGCAGCAGCAGTAGTTCATCCATATCATCTGCCTGTATTCAAGCAGAGGCAGAAAAGGCCGCACTCATGGCACAGGCTGCTGCATTAAAGGCTAAACATGGTATTGAAGTTCAGGAGGAAGAACTGAGAAGGAAAAAAGAGCAGTTGGACTTGGATGCTCAAATAGCAGCTTCCACAGCAAGGATCAGTGTGTTGCAGAAATTTGATCAACAAAGTAAATGTTCAAGCAGTTTATCTTCAAAGAAGATTGAAAAGGTTGTGGTCACTGCAAATTCTTCTTCTCAAACAACATCTTTAAACCCCAATGCAAATGACTATGTCCCAGTAAATTCAATGCCACTGGATTTGGATGGATACACTGGTGTTTCTGCATCTCAAGCTGCAATACAGGATCAAAGGATTGGATGGATTGATCAACAAACATCGGAACATGCTAATGGTAACTGTTCTGCTCAAACACAACATGACTCCATAATTCAGCATGCTACAAATATCTTACCTGCACAGGGTGATCCTTTGCTTGAAATTCTGAAAAAACAGGAGGAATTAACAGCGCATCTTGTTCACCAGCAAGCAAATCCTCGTATTCTACCAAAGAAGGAAATTCCAACATTTGATGGTGACCCATTGCAGTATATTCCATTCATTAGAGCATTTGAGCATGGCATTGAGCAAAAAACAACCAATTTAAAGGATCAGTTGTATTTCCTTGAGCAGTTCACAAAAGGGCAGCCTAAAGATCTTGTTCGCAGTTGCCAATATATGTCTTCAGAAAAGGGCTATGCAATGGCCAAGAAGTTGTTGAAGGAACATTTTGGTAATGAGTTTAAGGTATCTACAGCCTATATGGAGAAAGCCCTGGGGTGGCCTACTTTAAAGGCTGAAGATGTGCAAGGATTGCAGGCTTATGCTTTGTTTTTGCGTACTTGTTGTAATACAATGGATGAACTCTCATATATGCAAGAACTTAACATGCCTAGCAACATGAAATCAGTGGTTATGAAGCTGCCTTACAAATTGAGGGAGCAATGGAGAGCTAAAGCCTGTCAGATAATGGAGTCTGTTCATGGCAGGCCAAAGTTCTGTGACATTGTTGAATTTATTGAAAAACAGGTTAAAATGGCATCTGATCCTGTTTTTGGTGACATTCAAGACAAGCATGGTGCAAGTAAACTTAAGGTTCAACCACACAAGCCCTTTACAAGAAGTAGTTTTGCTACTGACATTTCAACTTCTATTCCAGCAAAGAAGTTCAGTGATGCTTTAGCACAACCAAAATCTTGTCATGTGTTAAAGTCTAATGGAGACTGTTTGTTTTGCAAAAATCAGCATTTATTGGAAAGGT